AACCGTTAGCTCTTCTATAATATTTATAAACCGTTAGCTCTTCTATATTATCACTGTTTACAGTGATGAAGTCCACCGAGGTGGGTTTGGCTCCTCCCCCATGACCGAACCACACTGTTACTTTTCTTGGCCAGTGGTGTTTGTTTGTATAACTATGAGCCACAGCTCATAGAGCCAGAGCTAAATAGACATTTTTATGAGCCACTATGATTTTCAGTGTAACTTGGTGTAAATACAGGTTCAGGTACTCTGGGGGGTAAGAAATGAGACCCTACAACAAACGTGTTTGTGAAGTGACGTGTTAAAGCTACAGTGATGTGTGATGAGTGGCTGTACTACACACACACGTGTTGAGTGTTTTCTGCATATTGTCAGATGTGAAGCAGGCTCTGATCCAGTGGCAGGAAAGGATCGACTTCGCTCACAAGCTGCTCACGCTCCTCAACTCCTACAGCCCCCCTGAACTGCGAAACGCCTGCCTCGGTAATGTTCGGCTCCTCTATGTACACACTGTATTTTACAGACTGTAAGTCGCAGTTGTTTTCATAGCTGCCAGTCCTGCAAGTATACTGTAGAGCTGGTGTTCTTCACTGTGCTCTGTGTGTTGCAGATGTTCTGAAGGAGCTCGTGCTGCTGAGTCCACACGACTTCCTGCACACGCTCGTCCCATTCTTACAGCACAACCACTGCACTTACCACCACAGCAACATCCCCAGTAAGTCTCCTCCCTGGGACTGACGGCACTAGTTTGTGTTTCATATCAGTCATTTAACATGATCAGGTTTCTGTAGTCCTAGGATTAATCCTTGGAGAAAGGGCAGGGGTCACCAACATGGTGCCCGCGGGGAATGTTCTAAAAATAGCACTCGTCATTAAGGAGCACCTGAGATCTCTGCGAGCGGCACAGCTACAAACTCTTCTGACCTCCCTGAGCGTGTCAGAAAAACTTAATAAAACTTTATTTTCACTGTGACTGGGACGAAGAGTTTTTGTTTGCAGTTATGGAAGACACATGCGTGCGTGTCTCATCTGTGGCGACATCAAAACGCTGCCACGTGGCGCGACGTCACCAGCTCACACATTAGTTCAGTGTTTCCTCTACCGTGATACAAGGAGGGCGCCCCGCCCGGTCCACAGAACCGAGTGCGCTGCCTACAGAACCGTGAGGTAGAGCTCCGCCTCCCTCAAGCTGATCCGTTTCCTCCCCCGTTGAAAACTGTCGGCACAAACGTGCACGTGCAACACAGACGTGTCTCCCTCTGTGCACCCCCAGCCTAGCGGCATGACGGGCAGAAAAACAGCAGGAGTTAAAGACGGCGTTTGTCTTCATGAGGCATTTTCACATGTGGAGTTCTTGAAAGAGGCAACGATGAATAACGTGCAAAGTAACTTGTTCAAAAGAGTAAAAATGTGATGATCAGTTAAAAATGCTGCAGATCTGAGGATCAGGACGAGTGTCCCATTTCAAAATCCACTGAATTTCAATGTTACCGACTGAGATTACAATTCAGTCCGGCTTTATTTCTGCAGGTTGGTCTCACTGAGTCACGGCCACTCGTTTACAGAGACCGGTTGTAAACAAACCACAGACGAGGTACACGACAAACAATGCAAATAAGAGGGGGTGGTACCTGGAGTCCACTGTCCAGGAACATGGGGAGTGTGTTCAAGAGGTGAAGAGGAGAGTCCAGGCAGGATGGAGTGATGGAGAAAAGATTCAGGAGTGACTTGAGACAAAAGGGTGTCAGCAAAGGTCAAAGGTCAAGTTCACAAGACAGTGGTGAGACCAGCTCTGTTGTGTGGTCTGGAGACAGAGACATGGACACAAAGACAGGAGACAGAGACATGGACAAGGAGACAGACATGGACACACAGACAGGAGACAGAACTGGACACAGACAGGAGACAGAGACATGGACAAGGAGACAGACATGGACACACAGACAGGAGACAGAACTGGACACAAAGACAGGAGACAGAACTGGACACAAAGACAGGAGACAGAACTGGACACAAAGACAGGAGACAGAGATATGGACAAGGAGACAGACATGGACACACAGACAGGAGACAGAGACATGGACACAAAGACAGGAGACAGAACTGGACACAAAGACAGGAGACAGAGACATGGACAAGGAGACAGACATGGACACACAG